GAAGACCTTGATGAATTGATTACCTCATCAACTCTATTTCATTTGCCATGAAAATATGTATGGGTAGGTGGATAATGTAATTGGGTCATAGATGTTAATCCGTAAGTCCATAACCGGAGCTTGGTGGATTGCAATATGAAAATGTTATTAGAATATGAATCCGGTCTCAAACTACCCAGGAGATTAATTACAACTTAACCGATTGTCAGACGGGAACCATTTACTACCTCCAGAAATCTATCTGGAGGGCACGTTCACTCTCAGTACGTATTATCAAATTTTTTTTTACCTAGGTTGACCTCACCTCGAAGTCAAACTTGATTACGTAACTCAGTTCTCACCCCTGGGGTTTTACTGACTCACTTCAACGATAGTACCCTTTTTGTTTAACCTATTGCTATTAAAGTGTGCTTTTACAACCGAGCGAGAACACACAAATTTGATGGTCATTATCCATTTTGCCTACATATATCTTCTTGTGTGATGTGAAACGGATTGAGGAACAAAGAATATTTCAAAAGTTCTCTATATTATTTCACCGAAACATAGTGCGGTCCTCCAAAGGGGGAGAGGGCGCTTTATCGCCTTCTCTACCAGAGAACATCAGGTACTCGATAGTGGTGATCCGATAACTGATATACGTACGACACATTATGGGACACATACAGTGTGGACATTATGATGTAGTAAATGAGCGGCGCATGTTAGTAATGTGGTGCTTTATGTTTGTTCACCTACAGTTACTGAACAAATCGTATTAGAAAAGGATATCGAATCTTTGTTTTTACACGGGACGATGCAGTCGCAATTCGAGACGAATTGTTCTACTGCAATACAAATCAGAGCAACCTTTAGCCAAGTTGAGTCGCCTCAAATGTTTGCCCCGATACCAGGCAACCAGTTGTTCATTAATCTTAGTATCTGAAGAGAAAAACAATATTTCATAACCGCGTGAATTACTGTTCAAATTCTGCACCATTACCTTGAGTTCTAAGCCAGATGTTTTTGCAATTATCTCACTGAATGTATTCATACTGATCACAGTTCAAAAATATGACTCGATAAAAAGAGCCTAAATCTCAAGAAGTTAGTGAGGGAAACCAAGTTTTCCAATGCAGTAACAGATGTAGATTGGGTCCACCAGAAATCATCATCATTGTCATCATCATCATCATCGTACAGCAAAATATGGCGAAGCGAAATTCACTGATCGCTGCCAAACTCAATGCATACACGATTAGTGGGAAAATTTAAGGTGGATAGGGAGGATTGAACCTACTTTGAGGGAGGGAGAAGAAGATGAGTCACTATGGTCAACACACAGAGTATCCAATCAAACTCGGCATACATACTGTTTCAAGCAGTCTGGCCTGATAAAAAACGACAACAAGAACGCCGCTGCTGTCGGTTCGCTGCCATACCCTTCAATGTCTCCAACCAACCAGTTGTGGAGTCTTTCGGACCCCGATCTGGAAGGCGAGAGACACCTACTCTACCTAATGGCTATGTGCATTTCTTCATGCCTCGTCTCCACGTCATCTGCTAACCTCCACGTGGTTTTCTTCCAGCCCGATTAGCTACAGCGAATAAAGCGCGGTGCGGCAGATGACTGGGCATACGCAATACGTGCTCTAGCCAGCGAAGCCTAGTAATCTGAATTCGGTATGCCAGCAGGTTTATACCTGACAGACTCCCAAACACTCGACGGCTTACCTCCACGTTACTAACCCGTTCGCTCCATCCAACGTGGGCTAAATTGCGTGAACACCAGTAATCGAAAACTTCTAGTAGACGGATATCTTCTACTCTCAAATTCAAGTTGCACAACCATAAAGCAGAACTGATTGAACGCTGGCCCAATATACACGACCTTTCAATTTCAATGAAACATCGCTTCTGCGCCAAAGGTGTTTCAGTCCTCGAGCCTTGAAAATGCGGTTGGTTACTCTTTTTGCTGCGCTACCGTCGTTGATCATGCAGATACCTAAGTAGGAAAAGTAATCCACCACTCCTAATTTGTGGTCATTTAGTTTCAGAGCGGAAGCAGACAAAATCCAGTCCTGCAACATCACTTGGCATTTTGAATGTGTAGAGGGAAGTGTGAAAATAATCGAGACAAGGACTACCTAAATCAATGACCCTAAGATCTTGTAACAAGGATGTCAATGATGTCGATTAGTAACCCCAGGAAACGTAGGCGAAGTTTCTATTCTGTTAAGGTAATGAAGCATAATGTCAAACACAGCAGACTTGAACAAGCATGTGTGTATTTAATATCGCAGTCACCATGCTAGAACTGCTTAATTTAAAAATGAATATGTTTGCGGCGCGTCAAAGAATAGTTTAACTTCGATGTAGTAAACCAACATGATAAGCCTGTCATGTAGTTCACAGATGACGTGCATCCCCCGCTCCGCTGTTGAGATAGAAGCTTACCACATGGAATAACCGAACTATTCGGTACTGGTTTTTAGTTGTGTTGCTGGTATGTACAAACACAAAAGAGTCCTCACGATTTTATAATGTTGTTCAATCGAATTTCTGTTCTAAAAAAACGAATTCCGATCTGAAAAATAGTTATTCGGGCACATTTGAAATTCAGCCACCACTCACCATCCGTATACTGTAGTTTATTCCATACAAAGGGACTGAGAAAAATGATTATTAATTCTGCATTGCACAATATACAACTATTATTTTGGCCTCGTGATAAGTCGCGCCAAATTGATTGGTAGTTTGGAATCCAAGACGTAAGTCGTTACATCTGAACAGAAGACAATACCGACGGACACAGATAACCGACTGATATTCAGGTGATGTTAATATAAGAAACACCGGGGAAAGATTCCGTAGTATTGCTAGCCGTGGGTGAACCTACATTTTTACCATGTTATGTCTCTTGCCACTGTGTTACTTCGATCGTGAAACTGCCGGAAATCGATATGAGTGGCTTACAAACGGATTGTGTTACAATCAAACATCGCCGAATGAAACACCCAATGCACTTGCACCAAGAACGAACGAAGACAAATGTCGCAGAATACTAGCATTGCTTTTGATTCAATCAACCGCACACTTTAAGCAACCATTTTACATCTCGACCATACCGAGCTAGTAAGCTCTAATCACCGCATTTATGCAAATCGGTGGGAATTTCCAAAATCAATGAAAAATCAACTTCACGGCTATTGAATTGATTGAACCAACCACTATCAAGTGAACAGATAACAGATGACGTAATGGAATCGATAACAATCAACGTTTAGTAGCAGGATATCGTCATTGTGGTTTGCAAGAGGGACCACTACGTTATTGAGACGATTAGACGAAATGTTCAAAACCCACAACACATTCACATGTTGTTTTGCCTTAGATGATGTAAAAATTACGAAGTCAAATCAAGGAACTGCTTTATCCACCTCGAGAGGTGGATATTCAGTAACAACATAACCATAGTATGTCAACGAAAGTGCAAAAGAAACATTATGATACAACAATTAAAGAACGTGAAAACGGACAGCAACATCAGGAACCAATAGCTTGGCCGGGTGTTTACGATTGAGTTAGTATAGCATTTTGCGCAGATTTCCTACAACCAGTTCGTAGTTTGTTAGAGATCTGGCAAGATACGGGACAACAGAGCGTCTGTAAGTTTCAGTGCGTGTCTTTATAAGTTCGGTGAGTGGAACGGGTGGATGAGGGAGCAGGACACTGACTAAGCGGGGAATAAAGAGGATGAGAAATATCAGATAAAATCTTATTGGAGAATGTTTTACAGCACTTGCGGTTGTGGGTCACGAGATAGTTTACCAGAGGTTCCCGTGATATGAGACTACAAGCCGACAGAAATTTAACGGATCGGGAAATGAGTTTGAGGTCCGTGTGAAAAAGGCCAGGGAAGATAACAGGAGACACATAAAGCCAGTGGGGCAAATCACAAGCGAAAACAAAACGCCTTATGAGATGGTTCGGGGTGGAAAGTGATTTAAGAGGTAAAACATAAAACATGAGCCACCTGACCTTCAGAAAACGTCATTAACGTGATCAGACCAAGGGAGGTGACGGATGAAAACAACGCCAAGTTATTTGACAGACGGTTGTCATTCCATTTGGTCACTGTGGATAGACAAATGTGGCCTGGCATTTGATAATTCATCATACGTTATTGAGCAAAACGTAGTGATTTCGTGTACAAACTACTATCCTAACTTATAATAACGGTACTATAATGGTATTCACTTGTTTTGAGCGTAGCAGTTCTAAGCCATCTGAAAAGTACCATACTTTCCGTTTGCTTCTGTCATCTCACGTTGTATTTTCTTTTGGCTCCAGTTTTCGCCTGTATAGATACGTTGAGTAACATGCAAGGCATTACAGTGAATTCATAACCGTTTTAGAACAACAGAGCAATCTTCACTTGGTCTACACCAATCCATCATGCACCGGATTATGCCGGTATCGGATTCGTTGCTAGGTTACAAAGAGCAAGGCAGTTCTGCTTTGCTTATTCTCATCAGTTTTTGGTCGAACTTCGGAAGAACAGCAAGTGTATCTACCGGAGAATTGACTCCACAGACTGTAATACAAACGTCCGAATCGACGAACTGTCCCGATGGAGTTGAGCACCAAATGAAATCGTATTGAGCACATCTTTTCTGGATCATCATTGGTGCTTGCGATACATCATCGTGCTCATTGGTTCATTCACAAACAGCCAATGAAAGAGCTCGATTTGATTCAGAGTGTACAATGTTCTCCAGACCGCAGATTATTTTGATCACAAGGTCATTTTCATTACCAGGCAGGAAAAACTAGCAACATACGTACACAAAACAGCCACCGAAATCCCACGGTAGTCGAAGTGTTCCATTAAGCTGTCTATCCCAACTGTGGACAATTTCCGACAACACATACTCAAACAAACAAACACACACACAAACGCATACAACAAAAGTGAGCAAAGCCAGGGATAGAACGAACTACGATTAAGCTTGTCCCAAATGGCTACCACCGCACCAAATCTGTCGTCCTCAATACGCCGATGTAACACGGAACATCACATTGTTGAGGATCGTTACTATTTGCATCATCATGCTCCCGACCACTATCACAATCGCCGTTTGTATACAATCAGACAACATATGTCCACTAGTTCACTGTATCAACTCATGCAAAACCATGCCTCGGACAAGGATGCATCTCGAACGGTCGTGACCGGCAAATTCAAACAGCGACGACGTAAAGCAAGCATGTCAAGCAGTCAATTGACCGCGATGGAACTCCCCGCCAAGCGGCCCACAGCGATCGCACCCGCGCATATGATCCGGTCGCATGCGCTAATCCCGGCCACCTGTTCGCGTTTGCGTTTGGCCTGTGAAACATGTCAGCATACCGTGCACAAACATCAATATCTGTACTGTAGGAATTGCCCAGTCGTTTGTCACGCACGCGATACTTGTCTGAATGACATACCCCGGGATTGTCCCGCGCATGATTTGGGCCTCGAAGGATGGGGTGAAAGTGAGTGGATTGATTTTTGTGTGCTGTTGATTTGTTTGTTTGTTTGTTTGTTCGAGAAATTGATCGGTAACCATGAACGTATTGTAGACCAATTGGTTTAAACAGTCATTAAGCTTTTACGTGAAGTGGTAAAGATGGAGTAGATCAACCAAGGGGGTGGGTGGGATTTTACGGGACATGATCGGCATAGCAGATGGTTTTACACACAAAGTGGGCATGATAGTGCCACATACGTTTTTTTAGATGTAAACGTCTGTCACATGTTTCTTTTCGACTGAGCCCGCTATCCAATCAGCCATGCTCCTTGGATTTTTTCAATACTCATTACAGTCTACAGTATGCAAATGGTTAGTACTATCAGGCCTCGCTCGTTGTTACTATTACTTGCCCGTCGTGATTCCAATCAGTATCGCTCGCACATACACACACACAAACACACTCAAAATACACCAGCGGAATCAAGATGACTGTTAGTAGTAGTAGTAGTAGTAGTAGTAATAGTAGTAGTAGTAGTATGCAACACCAATGCAACCTTTGAGAATGAAGAAAGCAACTGAACGAAAAGCCGGAATATAAAGTTTAAATAAATAAACTAATATGTTGCTGTCGAAAGGATTGAAATCGACACACCGGATTCGGCTCAACAAAAGGCGTTCTGTCCATCGCCATCTGGAAGCTGAATGCAGTCAGTGGTCCACAGATTCCAGTTAGGTTACGGTTAAAAAACTAGCCGTGTTCTTCCTTGGCATAGGCTTTTCCGTGTAAGAGGACGTTGACATCCATCACGGCAAATAGGAAGTGGCTTACACAAGAACAACAGTTTTAAAGAAATTCATCGCTTGGGGCACGAAATGTGAAATAGAGACAACTAAAAAACTACGCGAACTCGGATTGGAATGAGAGGGAAAAAACCATGAAGCAAATAGCGGTGCCAATGGGCAAGCAAGACTTCAACCTCCACGAGTCCTGCATATGGCCTAAAATGGTGCCTGATTTGAATAATTCGGTGTGAATGATATAGCGGAAAAGTGAAACGGCTCCTCGGATGAAATTTGTAAAGAGAAGTTGGAGCCTTGGTCTAATAGCTCGTAGAAAACAGCGTCTATTGACGACTGAATCTGGTTGCCTAAACGAACACGAATTGGTGAATGTTCGAATCGTTTTGGCGATGAAAAGAAGCTCAGTCTAAATAGACCTGACGCCGTAATTAGCAGTGGCCTGATATCCGCAAGGAACAGCGGCTCCTCACCACTCGTTACAAATTCAAAAAAGGTACTTTTGCTTCGTTTTTGTCTATTGAATATACAAATGTACTGCCAATTTTCAGGAAAAAGGGTTGTGGTCATACAAAAGTGACCTGGGAAATTACAGAAATGAGAAATGAGGGGAGCAATTCGAACACAGGACCCCGGATCAGTAATTTGATCACATTAACCATTAGGTAACCACGGTAATACTTCCTCAACAGTTTAACATGAATGAATACCGTACAACCGAGAGTGCTGTAAGACAATTGTTAAAGTGATTTAAGGAGCGGTTCAACCGTAATTGCCATGTATAAAGGCCGTTCATCTCTGAGAGGGAGAATTAATAAAAGTGAGTGACTTGCTATGTTGGACAATGGGATGCATGATTTCGTTGGACACATTCCTCTATCGAAGCGGCACATTTAGTTAGCCGTGTCATCAGGTGATCAGGTGTGGAAAACCCTCTTCACCATGTTATCATCCTAACTCATCATTCCCAACTGACAAATGACTGAATTCAACAGATATGAGACACATTTATGGTGGCACTGAAAATAAAATCCGATAAGCGAATCAAATTTATTTTTCTATAAATCCATTCATGTAGATAGAGCACTCCACAATATTTGCTTCAGTGCGAATTGGATCCTATTGCCGTATGCACAAAGCGATCCTACGTGCGTCAGTATTTTGATTTAACTCCTTCTTAGTTAGGACTTCTTTTGGTTACCAAGCTTGCATCGGTTTGTTGCTTGGTTACCGGCCGTGGCAGAGATAATGTCTGAACAAAACGCTGAATGTTATTCTGCGGTTTGGCTTGCACGCACCTGATACACAGGAAAGCCGTAGAAGACTAATGGACCGAAAAAAAAGGAGTGGTAGGGGAAGAGGATGATGCTATTATGTTAGTCTGGATAACTAGACTCGATTAAGTCACTTGGTTGACTGTTGACGATTTCATGACTGTACTGTGCTCATGCGCGTGCGGATGTGGAGACGTTGTACCGGGGGCGGGGGCGGGGGGGGGGGGGGNGGGGGGAGTTTGTTTTTAACCCTTCTCTCGGTCTTCGGCTCTCGTCGCTTCCAGTTCCGGGACTGCGTTCAAGTGAGGAACCGTGATACTTTAGTAAACACCAGTCCATCAGTCAATTCACCTACAGTTAATCTCTCAAAATAACGTCGTATGGCAGATTATCATGTCTGTCAAACGAAATAATTTAAACAATCAACCCCGTCTAAGAAGTTCGTTCGATGGATCCCAGTGTATTATGAGTAATACTTGTCTCCGTAATCGGCCTAGAGGCTCTCTGATGGATTTCATGTACCTCTGTGAGTAGTATGAGTGATCCAAATGTGGAAAGATGAGGCAACTGTTTCAAACTGTGATGAAATGAAAGCTTTGATACATATTTATAATGTTTATGACTAACCCATGACTATTCCGCACCTCTTTATGGTGAACCGTAGAAGAGTTGAATGCATCACATTCATCGACGCGTCTTACATATCATTTCTTACCCTCTCGCATCAGCCTCTACAGATCTCCAGATCCCTATCTCGCCAGAACCCTAGTAAACTGACAAAGCTTTTCATTTGAAATTCTCAACAACCTCAGGGGTCCGACGTTTTACTCATATGATTTCCTTTCTTTGATGAGGTGTGTAATGTTTTACTGAAATGCGGACGCAAAAGTCTATAAAAATCCACATACAAGTGGATAGGCAACGGACCCTGTTATTCCGTCATGGGGTCCGGTGACCTAAGCCCTGGAACCTATTAATATCCAACACAACACCTCAGTAACAGGGGCACTATAGTAAGCCGAGTGATATCAAAGCTGCATTTCAATACAGTTCGATGTCAATAGCTGGGTTTGAACTGTGAGCTTAATGAACCAGGAAAGACTGGTGAGAAACAGCTGAACGAATGGAATGCTACAATCAGTGAATAAAGTTGATTTCCTTTAGTCTTTACAGTGTACTCGTGTTTATAGACCAAATGATTGTTTAGTAAGATATCACAACTTATTGTAAACGAACCGTAGATCAATACACGCCGTTTGGAGCTGACGTATAACGGATAAATCAAACTTTTGAAAGGAGTCAACTTTGGGATTCTGTGTAGACATGAAAAACGAACCAAGAATCTCAAGTCAGCATTCACGATAGAAATCAAATCTCGAAAACGTGCTAGTAATCATCTTCCTACGATGAACAAGACGCGCGAAATGAGCCGTTAAAGTAACGATTTGTTTATTAAAAGATAAAAAATTGAAACATCACTGGATAAACAGGCGATAACCAATCTCTATTTCAGTTCTGTTCATCAAACAGCTTTGCTTGAATCGCTTGGTTTCTGATTGGTCAATACTATTGACTTATGACCCGTTGTTCTGAAACTGTAAAACGTATATGTATATATATATATATGTATTTCTAGACTGAAGATCTTGTCATACAAGTTCGATTACCAAGTGTATATGTATATAGATAATTTTCCATGTGAGTGTGGGACCAGGCTATGCCAAACAAAAGATGATACAGCGACCTTGAGTAGACAGTGCGCGGAAAAATCGCAAGTTGTCCAAACCAAGGTAGGTGAATTTTCTTGATGAATTCACAACTCAGCCTTTGACTAGCCAAAGACTAAAACACAAGGCAGCTGGTTCGTATGTGCGTAATCCGCAGTCCATTAGCAGGCGGTGTGTAGTTCATCGGATCATACGCACTTTGGACGGGGTCAACCGTCCAAGGTGCCCAAATAACCTGGATGCTCAATTGAGCCGGTAACCACTACCGCAACCACAAAGATGTATGTGGTTCATACACCTCTTCTTGGTTGGTCTAGGATTGGGTTTTTTAGCCAACGTCTGTAAGTGAACAGCCAAGGGTGGACCAACCCGGTTCCACCCAGAAAGGTTATCCTTTCCTGTCCTCATTTTGATGGGGAAACACCATGACACGGGAAGACAGTGGCTGAGGTTTCCTCGGTAATGAACATGTGATACGTTTTGCTATTAGGTTACGCATTTAGGGTGACCAGACGTAACCGAAAACAATTACCTCCGACAAAAATGGGCCTTTTGAATTTTTGTATGCCGAGTGCACGGCTTATTTTATCCGGAAGAAACATGCGCGTTAATTTATGCAAACCCAGGTTAGTATCTAAGGAGATTTTCAGTGAGAATGGTAACTTATTCTTATTACTTTCCTCGACTGCAGAGCCATTTGCCGTAGAATGATAACCCTTTTAATATGCATTCTTACGGACAGTTAGAAGATCTCATCGACTTGATGAATAACTGAATGAACTCCAGGTTCCGAGTGCACATGTCCGAAACAAGTGATCTGGGGGGATAATTTTGAATCGCATTCAACAACCGCGTAAAATTCGCTTGAAAACTCAATGGTGTCGTAAGATTAGACCTACCTGTATATCCTAAGTAATGGTGAAACAAGAACAGAGAGAAAACCCAAAAGATTTGATGAAGCACAACTATTGAACATTCTCACTCACTCAGTCAATCAACCATTCATGCAATACAATTCTCAATTCGGAATCCTGAACGCCCAGTTAAATGAGCTTGCCATTCGCCGTTTGTTGTTTGCGAAAACATGACGTGCGATAGCTTTCACCGGAAGAGTTGTGTGTACCATGGAACAATTTTCCGCCTCCATTTCAATCGCTTTTCGCCTAGATAAAACTTTTGATTTATTCATTTTTTTCCCCTGTGTTACCTGGCACCATTAATGTTTTTTCTATGTTTTGCGTTTAGACTATCACGCATAGCGGTACCCTAGTTTATACACGGTGCTAGATACAATGTTTTACACAGTCGTTAGTAGTCATGACAA